TTCCCCGGCTCATTGCCCAGCTGGTCCCTGGGGCCCAGCCCAGTTTCTTCCCCACCCCCACGCCCAGCCCTGCGCCCAAGCTCCCCCATCCCTTCCCTGCTTCCCCCACCCACTCCCAGGGGACCAGCTGCCCCCTGCAGTGAGCATCAGGGCCAAGTGTGGCTAGCCAGGACCCAAGCTGGTGTGAGCAAAGGGGGAGGGGCTGCCAAGGACTCTGGGGGTGGGAATGTGGGTGCAGGTTGGGGGGGGCGGGGGGGGGAGTGTGGAGTGCAGGGTCAGGATGTGAAGCCTCAGCCAGGCATCCTCTGCCCACCAGTTGTCCCCATTCCCCAGATTTGTTCGCAGTCCAATTCTCCACCCACCCCCCAGGGGCTGAACTAGGCTTCCTAACAGAGAGAATGGTGGATGGACTGAGAGGCAGAGATTAGAGTGCCATCTGTACAGCCTGACAAGGCAGGGCACGGGAATGGGGGGCAGAGAGGTAGGGAGGGCAGGAGGGTTCTGACTCAGAGCACCTGGTAGGGGGCACGGAGGTTATCTTTGGGCAAAATGCTCCAAAAGGTAGACCTGGAGACCTCCCAGGATCCTGCTTGCGGGGCTCCAAGGAGGCTCCAAGGCGCATCCCGCACCCCGAGCTCTGGGGTTCCCTCTTCTCCAGCAGGGACCCGCAAGCTGAGCTGCATTTGCCCCTTTCCCCCATTTGTGGGCCTTAGACTCCCAGCCTGGGTGGCCCCACTCCTAAATGACATGACCCCCAAACTCCTAGATAGCATTCTAGGGGGAGGGCCCCGTCTCCCCCTGCTCGCAGAGTACACCCCTTGCCACCCTGCCCAGATCAGACACCTGTCCCAGGCCTGGCTCTGCTGCGGACCAAGGCATGAGCCAGCGTGGGACAGACGTGGGCGGGAAGGGACACGGATAGGGGCTGCGGAGGCTGGGACTGGGCCAGACCTGGCTGGTGAGCAAGCAGCGGTGACAAACGGGCTGTGCGGGGGCCGAGGGGCGGGGGGCGGACGGCGGCTGATTTATCTGGGTTATTTATGCTGCGGACGAGGCAGGAGAAGCGGTTAATGAGAGTTCCAGCGAAGGGGGTGGGGAGGCCCGGACGTGATCTGAGGCAACTGAAGAGGGTTAGCGTCCCGCCACCAGGCCCTGCCCCCACTGCCCACCAGCACTCTGCACGCCCTGCCCTGTCCAAGGACCAGCCCAGCCCTGCCCAGCCCTGAGCCCTCTCCTGTGGCAGGCACCAACAACCCAAGCCGAGGCAGTGGGTTACTGGGATTGAAGGGGACCATGTCCAAGATTGAGGGGCTGCTGGAAGAACCGGGGGAGGGGGCCAGGAGATGGAGGGCAGGGAAGGAAGAAAGATGGAAAATCTTGGCTGGTCAGAAACTGACCAAGTCTGTGGGGCCTGTGGGCGAGTGTTGAGGCGGAAGGAGATCGGTGTGGGACTGGGTGGGCAGCTGCAACCTCGGGACTGAGGCTGGAGAGAGAGAAAAGGGCACTGGGGTGCAGATCTGGTGTCAGCCAGGAGTCATCATGGGGGGCCTGAGAGGCAGAGACAGGCCAGTGGGTGCTGGTCAGAGAGCAGAGAGAGCCGAGGAAGGAGGGGGGAAGAAGATCCCGAGAAGGAGGGGGAGAGGGCTTTGCAGCAGGGAAAGCTGCTGGGAGCAGATAAGGCGGCACGGCAACAGCAGGGATTAAAGCTCTGAGGGGCAGGGGCGGGGACGAGGCGTGGGACACGGGGGTGGGGGCAGGCAGGGAGGAGAGGGTTGAGGGCAAGACACCGGGGCCAAGGAGATGAGCGCGAGAAACGAGGGCTGCCAAGGGGCAGGATTTAATCAGAGGCCAGAGGTGGTCATCGCCTGGGAAGCGGGATGGTGGAGGTGGGGAGAAGGGACTCCTGATCACCCCTGCCGAGGAGGGGGGACTTTTCCGCCACCGATGGAGGCCCCATACCCTGCGCCTTTTGGGGTAGCAAAGCTAAGCAGAGGGGTGCGTTGCTGAGTGGACGGTACTGCAGGTTGCTGGGGACGGGAGTGCCAGGGCCCGGCCCTGAGAGCCGAGCTCTGGCTAGAACTTGGACGTGCAGGACATACAGCACCTCCTTGAGGCGGCCAGTGGAACACAGAGTGTCACGGGGACCTTGACCACACTCCAGGGTGCCCAGCCAGTCCGCCCTGGGATGGAGACCCCATCACGTCCAGGGTGGCAAGGACCAGTGCTTCAGAGGGGTTTCTTTGTGGGAAGAGGCATGGGCATGGAGCGGGGGACTGGCTTCCCCAGGCTCAAGCTTCGGACTCAGATGCCCCTTACCACCCGCTGCTCTCCTGTTCTCCAAGCCTCCCAGAAGCGTGTGCCTAGGGAGGGTGAAGCCCATGCTCCCTCCAGACGAGGGCGAGAGCGGTTCAGAGGTGGCCAAGGCGGTGGAGGGGCGCCTGGAGGGAAGGAAGGGAAGGAGGAGGAAGGGGTGGGGGCGGCAGGCGGGGCAGAGTAATTGCATGTTTGTCAGTTCTCCTGTCTCTGCACACGAGGGAGCGTGTGTGGTGGTGAGTGTGGCTTCGCCTCAAGGAGTCTGTGTCTGTTGGCAGAAGTGTCAGTGCGTCTGTCTCAGGGGTCTGGGCTCTCCTTGGCCCCCACCCCAACTTTGTGTTTTGGGGAGCGCGGCTCTGGGCACACCCAGCTGTGCTCCGTGCTGATGTGGCAGATGTGGCAGGGCCCCAGCTGTGCCTGCTTCCCGGAGAGGGGGAAGGGGCTGCAATCTGCTCCCCTATGATGGCTGCTAAGTGCCAGGGGGAGGGGATGGGGGTGGGGGTGGGAAGGAGGCCCAGGCAGGAGGGAGATGAGGGCCCTGGCACTCCCCCCGCCCCATCCTGGCCAGCCTGCCCCCAGTCTGCGTTCTTGGCTCGGCCTCTTCCCCCTAGCTGGCTCCCGAAGCCCATCCAAATTTCTCTCCACGCTCAGTCCCGGTCGGTCCCCAGCTCTCCTCCTCTGTCACCCCATCCAGCTCAGTGCCAGGGACCCGCCCCCACTCCCCGGCCCCCAGCTCGCTCCCCCTCGATGATTTTACAGAATAATCTTTTTATGGAAACCGAAAAAAGCACTAATGGCAGGAGCGCACCCCTCCCCCGCATCCCTCCCCCCTCATCCCCTACTTCCCACCCCAGTTCCCTCTGTTCTCGAAGGGCCAGCACCCTCCTACCCTTACAGGGCCAGTGAGGTCCCAGAGGTGGTGAAGGGGGCTCCCTGCCCTCTCCCCTCCGGAGACAGGGTACTCCCGCATCCTGGGCTCTGGGCTGTGGCCTCAGAGGTGGAGGGATGCTAGGCCCTCCCAGGGCAGACGAGGCTGGAGAGGAGTGGGGGGCATCGGAACTTCTCTCCTTAGACCCTGCTCCACCTGAGCACGCGTACATCAGTAACGCCCTCCGCGTGGCGGGGGTGGGGTGGGGTGGGTGGGGGGCTCCACAGAGACCTCAGCTTCACCAGCCCCCCTTCACTTTAAACACTGACCCTGTCCCTGTCCAGTGCCTGTCCCCACCCCCACTGGGCCCAGGAGGGGGGTCCCGGGGGCCAGGGCCTGACACAGACTTATTGGATTTCACGGTGTTTTGCTGAGAAAATAATTAAATTATCATATTTATGATGAAGCTGCCATGGCTTCTGCCAACCACTTGGAACAGAAGGGTCAGGACTGGGGAGAGGAGAGGAAGGGACCCAGCCCCTGGCCCTGCGGCCCACCCCTCTCCCAGCCCTGCCCTCAGGGGGTTGACCCCAGCCCAGAGGAGGCATCTGCAGACCCCTCCGGACCCCATACAGAGGTGATGGAAGGTGTGGGCTGGAGGCAGAGACTGGAGGGACCAGGAACGGGAACCAGAAGGGCTGCGTCCAGGCAGGTTGTAGGTCAGGACCGCTAAAACCCCCGGTTGTTTCACATGCACACGCGCTCTGACACAGCCTGCAGAGCCTCCAGGGGCTGGGTGGTCACACCTAGCCCAATCCCCAGGCCACCGTCAGCCCAGCTCCTGAGAAAGTGCATCTTCCTAAAAGCCCAGCCCTGAAGCTCTGAAATCCTGGGCTCTGTCCCAGACCCTGGTGCTGATAACCAGGCCCCAGCACCCTGCTGCCTGCCACCCCTGCCTGCTGCCAGGACCCCCTCCTGCCTCCCACCCATGCCCTGCCCCCCCCCATTCTCTTCGGGTAATTAGATTCCTCTCAATTAGCAGATTACCATCATTACCCGCTCATCTGGCAACTAAGCTCCGCACCCACAGCTGGGGAAAGGGGGGCACCGGGAGGGGCACACGGGGGTCGTGGGCAAACACTAGAGATGGCTGGGTATCTCTGGGGCTTCAGGAATATGAAAGGAAGACTGAGACCCCCCCAAAGAGCAGAGCCAGGGTGGTGGGAGGTGGCCAGGGCCCCTCCCCTCCCAGAACGGAGTAGCTCCCACTGTGCTTCTGGAGAGAAAGGCACCAGCTCAGGCCCACCCTGCCTGCCAGGGACTAGGAGGCAGATACCGGGCCTCGGGCGGGAGAGAAACCCCCGACCCCGCCAAAAGCCAGGCTGGGAGCAGATGGAGCTGGCAGAGCAGAAAGCAGGCCGGGCCGGGGCTCGGCAGCACCCGAGGGCGGCTCCGGGGGATCCAACCTCGGGCCCAGTGCTCCCAGCCCGCACCCCACTGCCCAAGCGAAATCCTCCCCGCTTCCCTTCGGAATCCTTCCACTCTGAGCCTGAGCCAGGCCCAGCGAAGAGGAACAGGAAGGCGGCGTCGGGGTAGGGGTGAAGGCGGGGGCCAGCCGGCTGGGAGCCTTGAGGGCCTTCCTCCAGAGCAGCGCGAGAGGCTGAGGCAGTGGGAGGGGGAGATTTACCAGGGCTCCAGATTCATTATTCATGAACCTGAAGCAACGACTCCAATTTAAATGCTAATGTGGGGGGGGGGGACTGAGTCAGCTGCCCCCTTCCACTCTCACCCCCCAGCCCAGGCACAAGCGGAGTGCTTACCGGCTCCAAGGTTCACCCAGGTTTATTAGGGAGTGGAGAGGGAGGCCACCAGTCCCCCAGCCACCCACGTTGCTCCCCACGTGCGCGTGCACAGGAAGAGCCTGGCTGGCTTCCTCCGGTCCCTCCTGGACAGAGGCTGGCCATGCAGGCAGGAGCCTCAAAGGGAGCGGATCAGAGCTGGGGGGAACTTCAGGCAGCCCCCCTCAGAGGATGATCTGGTTGGTGAAGCTGCGGCTCAGCTCCTTGTGTGGCAGAACAATCGAGTTCAGTATGAGCACCTCGGCAGGGATCCGGACGCGGCAGCCTGCAGTGTGGACAAGGGCACCAGGGGGAGGCCGTGGGGAGGGGAGGGGGGGCGAGGGGCAAAGAGCTGGGGGCCACCGCCATCCGGGAGGGATCCCTCCCTGCCCATCTGTGCCCTGGCCTCATGCTCCCACAGGGCATGGCCATCACCTGTGGAGGTTTCTCACAGCCTAGGGCCCTGGGAAGCATACCTAGGATGGTAATGGCAGGGAGCAGCTTCCCATCCTTGAATAGGCTCTCACTGTCCATGTGGGCTCGGGGGTCGTTGGGATTGGGGTCATTGGGGGTACCCTCCACGCGGGCCCAGCGCCCTACGGTGCTCCCCCAGCCCACGATGCTGTGCAGAACACACGTGTGCTCCTGCCAAACAGGACGATGTGAGGTGAGGGGGTGAGAAGGGGCTCACCCCTCCCCTCGGCCTCTCGGGGTGCCACGGCTGCTGTGTTTGCCCGGGTGCCTACCTGCAGTGTGGCTCCATGGAGGACAATGCTCTCTCGGAGCCGCACACCCTCGCCCATGGTCACCCCCTCCCCGATGGAGACGTTGGGGCCCAGCTGTGGAGAAGAGCACACCCATAGCCTTGGAGGGCCCCCAATCCAATCCCCTCATAAAACAGATAAGGCTTGAGGCCATAGGACAGGCTGTGACAAAGTGGAGAGACCGCTACTCCGAGCACTGCCCCACCCATGCTTCCCCTGGGCTGGGCCACCACTTACCACAGCAGACGGGGCCACCTTAGCTGTTGGGTGGATGTAAACGTTTCCTAGAAGCAGAAGAGAGGACCTGGGGGCAAATACCCCAAACCACATCTGGTTCAGGGAGGGCAGGGACTGAGACTTCACCTCTGGGTCTAAGGTCAGGAGTCACAGCTCAGCGGGGAGAGGGGGCTGGGCTGGGGGGCAAAGGTTAGGAATTGGGGCCGGATGGGTACCTCGAATCCGTGGACCCCCTGGGGTGTGCTTGGCCAGGCGTTCTGGGTGAGTGAGCTGGTACTGGCTCAGATAGAGGCGGGAGGCATAGAGGGCTGAGCTGGGGGCCAGAAAGTGGTGCAGGGGCTCAGGGGCCAGCAGGGCCTGTGCCCACCACCCCAAAGTCTCAACCCCCAGGTGACCCAACCACCCCATCAGAGGCCCCTCCCATACCCTGCAGACTTGATCTGACTCCAGATGCCGTCAGTGAGGTGCACATAGATCTGGCCCTGCCCGGCCAGGGCGGAGAACACATCCTGCTCCAGGCGGATGGTACCTGCCCCAGGCCACAAGCCTGACGAGTCCTCCCTGGCACAGAGGAAGGGATGCTGACATCAGTTCCCCAGCTGAGCCCAACCAGGGGCCAACAGTCTCCTGGGGATAGGAATGAGAGTGAATCCCACCACCTCTCCAGGTCTGCTCAGATCTGTTCCAAAAGGATGCTCACATCCCAGGAAGCCCTCCCATCACCCTCATACACATCACCTCCTCTCCTCCCTGAGCTGTCTGTGTCCCCAGGCACAGACCTGCTGCTCATCCTGCCCCACATCCAGATGGAGTTCGACCAGACCTGGCTTCTCCCCCTTTTCCCATTCTCCCCCACCCCATCCACTCCTCTGAACCCCGCCTCTGGTCACCCTCCCTCTCACTCACTGGATGGAATGAAACACAGACAGACTCACCCCAGAGGAAGGCAGCTGGTGGGGGCAGAGACAGTCACAGAAAGAGAGAGAAGAGAGAGAGAGATGGTGGAGATGCCAGCTCAGCAGAAACAGACAGAGAGGCCGGGAGAGATGGAGAGAGAAGCAGAGAGATGGGTGGGAGTGAGAAGATGGTGATGAGTGAATGAGGCTTGAGATGGGGAGACGGGTGGGGGAGGAGGGAGCAAAGGCAGGGATCCACAGAAAGGAACAGGTTGCAGGCCTAGGAGGATGACCCTGGACTTTGGCTTGTGGCGAGCAGGGCTCTGGGGCACTCAGCCTGAGAGGGAGGGAGGGAGGGAGGGAGAGAGAGAGAGAGAGAGAGAGGGTGTGTGTGTGTGTGTCTGTCTGTGTGTGTGTGTGTCTCTCACTCAAGCCTGTGTGCACCCAACTGTGTGTGTTGCCGTCTGTTCTAAAAGGCATCTCTGGGACACTCAGGGCTTGAGAGAAATGGACCAGAAGGGGAGTGGGCAGGCGGTGACAGAAGAGGAACTGGGATGGATAAGAAGAGGGACAGAATGAGGTTAGGAAGGGAGGGACTTGGAGGCTCAGCTGGAGAGGACAAACAGAGATGAGAAGGGGAAGGAAGGTGAGCGGGGGCTCAGGAGATGAGCCTGCAGAGGCTGGGGGGGCGGTCTGCGACCGGGGGCACTTGGGGTCTCAGGGCCACGGGGCCTGCCTCACAGTTGCCCATCCTGCTGATTACGCTGGAAGACATCCCGAAGGGGCTTCAGGGCTTCCGGGGAAAAGAGGTAGATGCCACAGTTGATGATGTCACTGACAAAAGTGCTGGGTTTCTCCACATAGTGCAGGACCTGAGGACACAGTGGGCTGGGATCAGTGGAGGAGAGGCCACTGCCATCACCCCCTAAGACCCTCTGACTTCCAGGTCCTCCCTGCTGCCGGAGTGGTCTTCCTAAAACGCAGACTGCATCGCATCTTGCGGCTGGCCTTCACCTTCAAGATAAATCTGAACTACAGGCCTTTCTCCTCCCCACCTCCCAGAGCTTCCAGAACACGGCTCCATGCCATTGCACGCCTGCGCCGGAAATGTCCCTTCCCATCTCTTCATCTGGAAAACTCGGCTTTCAAAACCCAGCTGGCATTGTCACTTCCTCTATGAGTCCACTCTGCCCCAGAGTTGGCTTCTCAGGTCCGGGCACCCCTGGCCTCTGGCCACACCTCACCAGTAGCACTTGTATCATTTACGATGGTTGGTTTTTGACTGTCTCTCCCACTAGTCCAAGGGTTCCTGAGAAGCAGGGATTGTCGTTCGGCTGTGTTTCCCTCACACCTAGCTAGTGCCTAGCACAAAACTTAAAAAAAAAAAAAATGCGTGTGTGTGTGTGTGTGTGTGTTTATATGTATTTTTAATACTAAAGCTTGAACAAATAAAAGGGGTGCATGAAAGTCAGTCAGACTCAGGGACAGGGAGCTTCACAAACAAGGACAGAGACGCTCTGCCTTGCTGATTATGTGCCTCCCTCCATAATTCTGGAGGCCTGCTGTTTCCTGCCTCCTGGCCTTTGCACATGCTGGTCCCTCTACCTGCAATGCCTTCCTGTCTCCGTCATCTAAACAAATCTAAAACTCAGCTCAGACCTTGCCTTCTCCAGGGAGCCCTCCCCTCCCCCACCCAGACAAGGCTGGGTTGGGCCTCCTTTTGTGCTCTCATAGCACCCTGATCATTCATCCACTGTTACCCCTTCACTCTCAACGATCTCTCTAGAAGGGATATAGGATGAACTGAGGGTATGCCCCACCTGCCTGAGAAGACTGGGGCCCATCCCAAAGCATTCCAGCATTCTCTAGAGGCGGAGTGGGAATGATGATACACAGAGCAAGCGCCCAGCCAGCCCCCTCTCTGCTCTCACCTCATGCGTCTGTGGATTCTCCACGATGCAGCCATAGTTGAGGGATTGTGTCCTGTTAGCCTGAAAGACAGACACACCGAGACAGTGACCTGCCAGCTCCACGGCAGCAAGGTCTGTTTTCTCTTTCTTTCTTTCCCTCTCCCATAACACCTGGCACGCATCCCTGCTGCTGTGGACAGTGCTTCAGCAAGGGTGAGAACTGACAGCTGCCGCCACTCCTCGCCTGCTCCCTACTGCTGAGCAGCCAAAGGGCTTGGGGTCTCCGCCACCACCTCCACCGCTGCTGGGGTATCAGGCACATCTGATGCCTGATCCCACCACCTGGGCTGCCCCTGCCTCCCTGACATCCTGCATTCCAGAAACCTTTCTGGATCACCCCCTCTGCACCCTCCAGCCCCCCGGCCCCCTCACCGTGGTGCCAAGGAGCAAGAAAGGGTGAGGTTGGTATCTGTGGACCTCCAACATAGCGCTCAAGGGGAAGTCGGAGCAGACGTCAGCGTTGAGCACGAAGAAGGCTTCGGGGCCTCCAGCCAGAATTTGGTCCCGGAAATGGTAGAGACCACCCCCTGTGCCCAGGGGGGCAAATTCTTGCAGGTACCTGTCCCCAGGGACCCCAGGGCCAGCTCAGTGAGATCAGAGGAGACAGATACCAGGATCCTGGGCACCTGACTCCTCTTGTTCCCAGGCTTATACCTGCCCGAGGCCCACAGAGAAGGCAATATACTCAGGGATTCAAAGATGCCCAAATAGGAACCCTCCTAGCGTGTGAGGGTGAAGTCTGGCGAATGCTGACTCACCCCACTCCCGAGAACCAGAGGCTTAAGGCACTGACCCCCCAGCCCCATACAGCACGTGTGCACAGACACCTGATCGGAAGATTAAACTCCTGCTGGGCAGCTTCTAGGAACCGGGTAAGGGGCTCATCAGGTTGGTAGAAGCCAATGAGCAGAATCTCCTGCATCCCAGCGACCTGGGGACAAGGGAAGAGGTTGGAAGAAAAAAATATCTGATAGGAGGGAGAAATCCCTGGGACTGGCCCATAAGTCTGGAGAGACCAGTTTCATTCTCAGCTATGGGGCCCCTGGGCACGCACTTTCCCACTCTGGCCCGTTTTCTCCTCTGGACAGTGAGGAAGTTGGAGGCAGTCTCAGTCCCTGACCTTTTAACCTTTTATTATTCTATTATCCCCTGCACCCTCACATCTGAATTGGGGCTCACCCTAGGGAAGATTTTGCCTACCAAGCTGCGTTAAAGAATAACCCATAATTTTCCCCCATATTTATTATGTGTCAATCTGAGCTTGAGATGAGGATATCATTTATCAGGTGCCTACACTGGACAAGGCACTTTACAAACATCATTGCAAGCTTTGCCACCCCGCAAAGCAGGTCTAATCACCTCCATTTTACAAATAAGGAAACTAAGGCTCAGAAAGGATGGGAAATTTGCTCAAGTCCTTACAGGAGGCAGAGACTGGATTCAAATAAAACCATGCCTGCCTCAATACCAAAAGCAATAAAGAAATTAGCTCCACAATGAGCAACGGTATGAGTTCTGTGCTTTGCTATCATTAAGGATCCCCCTGCTGCAGTGTTAAATTGTCTCTAAGAGTCTTGCCTGATCTCACATTCCATGCTTTAAAAATAAATAGGAGTGCAATCTGAGCAGGAGGCCAGAGGAGACACTAGGTTAGAGGAAGACAGCAGAGCAGCTGTACTGCACAACTCCAGGGGGCGACATTCACATTTTCACTTGTAAATGGTGGTCCCTGTGGGAAGGTCATGGTTGGAAAAGGGGGAAATACAGCAAGAAGGAGATGAGCAGGAAGTGAGGTGGGAGAGGGGAGCCTATGGGGTTACCTGGGCACAAGCCTCAATGTGGTGCTGGATCATAGGGACCCCCGCCACAGGAAAGAGTGGTTTGGGCACCTCAAATGACAAAGGCCTGAAGCGAGTCCCTGGGAGAGGAGAAAGAAGCACATTTCAGCTTCCTGCCTCCCTCTGTCCCCACCCCACCGACCACTCCAGCCCAACCTCCTCCCCCAATTCCCCTGGCTCCTCACCCTTTTGAGGGCCTCCAATCAGGATCACAGCTTTGAGCATGATGGCGACTGCTACCTAAACCTCAAATCCCAACAGAGAAGTCAGGCTTAGATCTCACACCCCAACCCAGGAACCTGACTCATACCCCAGCCAAGCCCCCAAAACCCAAATAGCAACACTTAGTCCCCTCGGAGGATGTAAATCCGAAGTTCAATATAGACCTGCCCCGGACACAACACCTCACAAATCCCACACAACTCAAATCCTAGCCCAGCCTCCAGGCAGCCTTCAAATCCCACAGGGATTTCACCCAAATTCTGAAATTCACACCCCACAATTTGACCCCTAACAGACCTCCCTCTGGCCACAAATTCAGCAAACTCAGAAACTCAGCAAGAGAAGCCCTTCTCAGACCCCAAATCTCAAAAAACCGAAACCCCAAACCCACCGATTCCCAATTGTTGCATCCTCACTCTAGATGTTAAGCCCTGAACCCCAATAGTGAAGCCTGAATACTGAACCCCAGACCCTGAGTGAGCCCCAAATATTTAACTACAATCCTAAGAATGAATCCCAAGTACTGAACTAATACTGATCCGCATCTGATGCATCCCAAATCCTAGCAAAAAAAACCTACATAGGCTGAACCTGAATCCTAAAACCAATCTCCAGGTGATGGACCCTGACCCAAAAGACAGATTCCTTTAGCATCCCAAACACCGAACCTACCAAGCCCTGAGTACCGATACTGACGACAAGTACTGAATCTCTGGATTCGGAGAACTGATTGCTGACCCTCTGAACCCCACAACTACTACGCCTCACGTAGCCAGGGGTTGTGGAACCAACACAAGAGCGGAAGTGCGGAGAGCCAGCCAAGGCCTCCGAGCCTCTCTCGGTCTACCGTCCGTCCTCTGCCCTCTACCCCTTTCGCCGCCCCTCCACCTGGTCCCTTTACCACTGGCTCCCTTCACCATTAGTTCCCTTTTGCCAGGTCTGTCGCCCACTACTGCTTGCTCCTTCCGCGCACGTGTCTTCTCGCAAGTCGCGAGAACTCCTTCGCGGAGTCTGCCGGGAATTGTAGTTCTTACTATCTCCTTGCTTTCTAACCGAGGGAGGAGGTGGGATTTATGGGAAAGTACGGGGGCGTGGCCAAGGAATCTAGGGGCGGCTATAAATAAGAGGGATGGCGCCTGAGAAGCAGAGGTTGGAATTTAAGATTAGGACCTAAATTGTCTAGGAAAGGGCCCAGGGGTACCAGCCAAAGCCTAGAGCCGGGTCACAGGGAAGAGCGAGGCTAGAGTCCTGAGGGGTGTGTGGCCAGCCTTGAAATGGGAGGGCCCAGAGTGCAAACCCCCAGGAGAGGGTGGGGCTTGAGGCATACAAAAGAAGAGAAGGCGGAGTCGTAGACTCCTCTGCCAGTCTGTCTGGGAAGTGAAGGAACTTCTGACCGTGAGAGAAGTTCTATCTCAGATTTACCGTCTGCAGAATGAAGCACTGGACTAGGCACTCCCCAAACATTATGACCTCAACATTCTGTGACCTTGGGGTGTAGGTCTGGGAATAAAGCGTGGGTGCAAATGCAGGGGAAATGGCGTCTCAAAAGAACCGAATAGACGCAGAGGGTCAGCGAGAGCAGCTTTATTAAGCAAGATGAAGGAGGGTTGTCTGTCCCACGCCCCCGGGGCTCCAGCCAGGGTGAAGTGTCTGAGGGTCCCTTTCAGGCCACGTCCACGCGAGCGAAGCTCTGGTCCATGCCCAGGCTGTTCTCCACGTACACCTCGTACTTGCCGCTGTCCTCAGGCGTGGCCCGCCGGATAGTCAGCGTCGTGGTGGTACTGCCGATCTCGAAGAACACTCTAGGTGGGAAGAAGGGGAGGACAGGGCCTGCGGTCAGTTTACGCGCGCCCTGGTCGGGTCGGGCTAACTATCCCCCTCTGTTCTTCGCCTCCCAAATTCCCCGCCCCCATCCCACTCCCTCCAGTTTCTGGACCCCGCCCGCCCAAGCTCCTGCTCCAGGCGCTGTCCTTGCTACAAGCCCCGCCCTCCCCACACCTGTCGTCCTCATCGATGTCTTCCCCGTCCTTGGTCCAGCCCACGTCGGGCGCAGGCTCGCCCATGATCTCGGCAGTCAGCGTTACCGTGGTGCCTTTGCGCACCTTAGTGTTACCCGGTCCCTTCTGAATCTTCGCCGGTACTAGAAGAAGGGAAAGGGCCACCCAGTGAGGAACCTAGAGGTGAGGCGGGCAGGGGCATCACCTCCCCAGCTAATACCCGGCTCTAAATAGGAGATGGATTTAAGCTTGCTGTGTGACGTTGAGCAAGTCTTTAGCCTCTCTGGGGCATCATCTCGTCAACTGTCAAACGGGACTAACCCTGCCCTTCGCAGAGGTGAAGGGAGGATCAAAAGAGATTCTAGGGGTGAAAGTCCGGGAATGTTCACACATCTCCCGGCGCCTTGGAAATTGCCCTGGGCTGAGAGCCAGAAGACCAGGGCTCTAACCCTGGCTCTGCTTCTGGCTCGCTGTGACCTTGAGGCTCTGGAATCGAGTGACTGAAGCCCATAGCGGACTTCTTAGGCTGTATGGGACACAATTCTGGGGTAGGAAAGGACTACGCGCGGCCGGCGCTGCGCCCTGTTCCGTGACTTAGGCTGTGCCGGGGCTGGGTCACATCCGCATCCGGACTCGGCAAGGCTCAGAGGTAAACGCGGCTGGAGCCGGCTGCGGCCGCCCGCTGTGTGGTGCTGCTCTGCACGGTGGCCCTGCACCCAGGGCGCGCGTACCTTCCACGAGGATGCGTGCCGAGTCGGAGCACTGGCCGAAGGGGTTGGTTACGTTGATGCTGTACTGGCCCAGATCTGCCAGGTCGCCGTCGCGCACCACCAGTGCGACTACGTCAGGGTCCTCGAAGACGTAGCGATACTTGGGCCCGTCGCGCAGCTCCTTGCCGTCCTTGCTCCAGCGGATGAATGGGTCCGGGAAAGCCGAAATGCGGCAAGTCAGCTTAGCCGCGCTGCCCTCAATCAGCACCACATCCTTCAGCGGCTCCAGCACTCGCGGCGGCCCCTTCTCGCGCAGCTCCTTCCGGGACCTACCCGCAGCCCAGGTCAGGGCCCAGAGCTCCCATGACACGGCCCCGGCCGGCCTGCAGCCCTGTCCATCCGTACACCGTCCCCTGCCCACCCCCTCAGCCCAGTAGACCCTTAAACATGGGGGTGGGTAGGGAAGGTGATGGCTACTGAATTGTTACCCTAATAAAATTGTCTACTCTGTGTCAGCCACCCTTCCACACCTCAGTAACTGCTCTCCCCTAAGTCCAGTGACCCTAGTGGTCCATGACATTGTGCTCAGCCCGCATCCATCCCCCAAATGCAGTCATGAGCGTTCTGCAGCTCCAGCTCCCTTCCTCCAGAGGCTCTCCAAGGCTCCCCCTCACCTGTGGCCCCGGTAAGAGGCCTGGATGCGAATGGCTGCCCTCTGGACCTGGGGGTCCTTGATATCCAGGGTACATCCTGGAGGCGGGGCTGCAGCCACTGGTTTTTTGGCAGGAGCTGCTTTGGACATCTGGAGAACAGAAAACAAAGGGATCTAGGCTGACACAGAGACTCCAAACTTCAGCCCTTTCCCTGCAGATTCAGAACATCTCCCGACGTGGGAGTGTCTAGGGCCGACCTGAGGATCTGAACTCACCGTGAGGGGTTGACTTCGGGACTCGGGTCCACTGGCTGTGTAGCAGGAGGCTCGGAGCCCTTCCAGATGGCACAGCAAGGGCGCAGGCAGGTGCTCAGCCCCAGGCCCAGGTTTTATACATCTCTCCTCTCCTTGCCTTGTTTGGCGTGGTTGCCCCAAGCCCCTGGGGACCCCAGCCCCCGCCCCCTGACCCAGACAGGCTCCTTATTTAGCCTGAGAATGCCTGGGATGCTAACTCAGCCACAGGGGCAGCCCCGGGGGGAAACCTGAGCGGCTCTGGGGTGCCTCACACGTCAGCACCCTGACAGCTGGGCAGCTGGATGTGACCCCATGCCCTCCCAGAGCAGGAGGTAGCCATCCCACTCCCAGGAGGAACAGACAAGGCCTCAGGTCGACAAGAGACTCAGCTCCTTGCTGGGGTAGTTTATACTCAGGTCAGTCCCTGGACAGTGGGACAACATGTCCTTCCTGGACACAGTCAGTGAAGGGGTGCGAGTGTTTGTGGAGGTGCCCTTGACTGAAGCTAGAATAGCGATGGACTTCACTGCCCATCTAGCCAATTATGAGAGGGTCACGTGGCAGTCAGAACCAATCTGGAAGCGCCTTACTCCCCCCACCCCAGGAGTCTAGGGTTGTCATTTCCACACTGTGCCTCCTGGTGGTAAACTGAGATAAACCTAGAGGGGACCTTAAAGATTTTGGGGAACAGCATCCTCTCCTGCCACCCCATTCCCACTCACTCCCCTCCATGTGACATGGTCGGTCAGGCTGGGCTACACTGTCCCTGGAGATTGGCACTAATACTGACTCTAAAACTCTAGGTCTGCCCAAGCCAAGCTCCCTCTCTGGGCATCAGCTGGTGCATAGGGGCATCAGAGCACCTGGGATGAAGGGGTTAATCCCTCTGAGACTTGCCTGGAGTCCAGTCTGCCCAGGCCAGGGCACCAGGTAAGCCTTGCTTCTATTCACTGTAACTGCCTGCCCAGGTCTGGGGCACTGTCACCTTTTGATCAGAGCAATTTTGACATGGCTCTGCTGACATAAATTACCTTTGCTCCTCCGGGTTTGGAACAAGCAGTTCACATGCCATTTCCAATGGAGATGAGAAGGAAGCTCAAGATCAGAGGGGGGAGAAGAATTTTACCATTTATCAAGATATGAGTTCAGGCACCTGATTTTTATATGAAAACATTTGCAGTGTGTAGGGGATTAGAGCTTCTCACAGGCAAACTGCACATCTTCATCGCTAAAATGGCAGGTAGGAAAGGTGTCCCTCTGGCCTCTTCCAGCTGGCTTTAATATCCTCTTATTTTATGATGATGGGGCTTGCCTCTTCCCTGGGGTCCTGGGAAGCCAGAGAGACTGGGGTGGGCTAGGCAAAGGGTTGCTTGGGCTACATCCAAGAGGCCCTCAACCTCAATCAGCAACACACCAGCACCAGGTCCCTCTGCTCATGGTGAAAGCCTTTATTCCTTTTACATTGCCAAGAGCAGAGTTGCAATGGGAGGAGGGGCGTGGGGAAAAGTCCCTCTGGACACAAGAACTGGCTCCCCCTCCCCCCACCTCAGGGCAGGGCAGCTCAGTTATAGGACCCAGTGACCCTTCCGTGGCACCGCAGGGGGCACTTAGAGTCAAGGCCCCTTAGCCCCCAGCGGAACCCTGGCTTGCCATGGGACTAAGAAGGTCCAGACTGAGTGTCCCTGGGCCCTAGGAAAATGCTCGTCTACAGCCCCATCACAGCAGACACGCCAACCAGAGCGCTCACAGCTGCCCTGTGCTGCTGGTACCCCATGTGTCCTGATCGGTGCAACACTGAGAGCGTGGGCAAGTGGGCCTGTCCTGGTTTCCTCTAGAGCTCTTTACACATCCTGCTCTGACCAATCATCATGATGAAACCCCCTCCGCCCCAGGGGTCAGGACCAGAGCTGCCCTGTCTCCTGGGCAGAGCGCAGAAGGCTGAGCCTGGATTGGGGTGTGGGCTGGTCTATTCCAGAGCCCAGCATCCTCCCAGCTGTGATGATGGAACATGTGAGAAGAGGTGGGGGCCGCCAGTCTGGTTAGAGGGCGGTGGTGGGGATTCAGTGGTCCTGCCAGGATTCCAGAAACTTTAGATGGAGATACAGACCTACATCTTCCCTCCCTCTAGGAATAAGGGAGACGTGAGGGGCCAGGAGGGTCAAGGGGTGGGGTAGGAAGGTCCCAAGGTGCTATAGCTAGTATACCTTGGCTCTCACTGGCCTGGAGAAGGCTGGAATGCCCCTGTCCCAGTACCCCCAGCATCGTGCACCCCCAGTACCCCTAGCCATCCCTCCCCATAGACCACACACATAGGTCCTGCTGCTTGCCGTTTTTATTTTCCTTGTGACAGACAGACAGACAGACAGCTGCACAGACAGCTGAATGGCTTCGGGGATGGTCAGGACAACATAGGCGGTAGGGATTGGATGGCAGAGAGACTTCATAAAAGTCAATAAATAAATAAATATTAATGGGCAGAAGGGCGAAGGCCACGGAGAGGTGATGAGAACATCCTCGGCCAGCACAGTGCCCAGAGCGGCATCCGCTGGGACAGGAGAGCGCGGGCTCAAGAGGCCACTACTTCCAGCCTCCAGCCCTCCATGCTTCTCCTCCTGGGGATGCTGGCAGCTGGCCACCCCAGCCCCACCTGAGTTGGCTCTCCTCTCCCTCCCCCACCTCACTGCCCTCTCTCACATACTGGCTCTGGCTTCCTGGCACCGTCTACATGTCCTGTTCCTGCTTCACCGACACTCCCAGCCCATGGCCTGTAGACAGCCTGGTCTCCCCGCTTTTCCTCCTCTTCAGCCACTCCCACCCTCCTGGGTTGGTTCTCCCACAGATGCACTGTCTCCCTCCCCCAGAACTTTCCGAGAGTCTCCCCTTCCCTATTCCTCATCTTCTTTTCCTCGTCACTTGCCCATTCCCTTCTTGCCCCCCTTCCTGTTCCTGACCCCACCCAGCCTGGACAACGGGTCTCCCACTCTGGTTCTGGCCGGGTGGCATTGGCCAAAGCCCGGGGTCTCTGTCCCCGCAGGTCCATGAGGTAATAGCCCGGCCGGATGTTGCTGCTGCTGGTGTCCAAAGCCCCGGGCCCACCCGGCTCAGTGTGGGCCCTGGAATGTCCAGGGGGCGTCAGCAGGAACCCAGAGTCGAAGCCCGAGGCCGGGCTGTGGTCCGAGCCACTAGGGGCTGCCTGGGTAGGAGCGGAGCAGCACCTTGTGACGGGTGGCAGCCTCGGCCCGGCGGCGCTGCTGCTCGCCCAGGAACTCCTTGAGCCGGCTGGTGGTGAAGGTGAGCGTCTGGCGGCGCAGCTTCATCAGGTAGGCGTCCTGCAGCCATGGGTGGGCTAGGCAGTCCTGCAGGGAGGGCCGGCTCCTGCCAGGGGAAGCCAGGGACAGTGAGCCTGCAGGCACGGCTCCCAGAGCAGGGAGGGGGCCCCACCCTCCCAGAGGGCTTTGCCCCTAGTGAGTGAGCTTAGACAACTCTGGGACTCAGTTTCCCAGTCTCTGAAATGGGGACAGTGATTCTGCCTACATCATAGGGCTGTTATGGGCTTTTTTTTTTTTTTTTTTTTTTTTTTTTGTGGGCCTCTCTCTGTTGTGGCCTCTCCCATTGCGGAGCACATGCTCTGGACGCGCAGGCTCAGCGGCCATGGCTCACGGGCCCAGACGCTCCGCGGCATGTGGGATCTTCCCAGACCGGGGCACAAACCCGTGTCCCCTGCATCGGCAGGCGGACTCTCAACCACTGAGCCACCAGGGAAGCCCCTGTTATGGGCTTTAAATGGTGGTAGTGCAGCCACTTAGGAGGAGTAGGAGTAGGAAAAGTAGTAGTAGTAGTAGTAGTAGCAGCAGCAGCAGTGTATTACTGGGGCGGGGGAGGAGGTGGGGGCTTAGGCATGGGCTGGGCCAGGGCAGTCTGAGGCCAGAGGCACGTAATGCTGGGAGGTTGGCAGGTGTGGGACCCACTCACCAGGGATGCACTGAGAGGACCTTTCGCAAGAAAAGGGTGGCGCTCTGGGACGTGTTGGGGTACAGCTGGAAGGCATCAAAGCGGCCCCCCACAATGCGAGCCTCTGTTTCCTGGGGGTCTGGCTCATAGAACGGGGAGCGTCCACTGAGCCTGTGGAGGAGACAGTTCAGTTGACAGATGCAGACTGAGGGTCAACTCACAGGTCCAGGGGGACGTTAGTGTGGAGGTTCTTAGGGGCACAGCGCTCAGGGACAAGGCTACCCGCACCTGGGTACTCGTATGTGTATGTGCATGTGTGTGTGTGTGTGCACGAGTATGCACATGCATGCGTGGCTGGGGAGGCGGGGGGGAGGGTACAGGCGGAGGGTGGGTCCTGGGGGCACTCACATGATGTAAGTGAGCACACCCACTCCCCAGATGTCCGTGGCAGAGCCGATGGGGTCTCCCTTTACCATCTCAGGAGCTGACAGGAGACAAGAGGCCAAGTTGAACCAGCTTCCTGGTGGCAAGGGACCAGGGAGAGGCAGAGGAGGCCCCTGGGGGCTTGAGAAGCAGGACAGTGCCCAGGTCACCAGACCATGGGTACATTAGAGCAGCAGGCCCTGGATGCCAGCGGGCAGAGTGGCCCCCAGGGGAGATGTGGGGCACCTGAGGAATCAGCCCAGGCACTGAATGGTGGGCAGTCCCCAGAACCGCAGAGGAGCTAAGAACCAGGGTCACAAGTTCTCCTGGATCAGCTCCGAAGGTGGGCGCCCATTCACAAAGGGTGTGGCCCACACCAAGATTAAGCACCTTTGAAATCAGCCTGGCTGGCTCTAATCCCAGCCTGCCCCTTCTAGCGACAGGACCCTGGGCAATGTACGAAACCTGTCTGGCTCTCCATC